CTAACTACTCTCAAACCTTGAGTTAACCAATACATTTCTTTGTCTTATGGAAATGTTGTCATAAGCTATGTTAATGTACCCCAGACTCTATCTTCAAGTTGGTTGCGCCAAACGGCCTAACTTACTTACTCAGGTATTGTTTCCCTAATCTATGTAAATGAAACTATTCGTTGGTATTCTGCCCTTCTACAAGATTCAAGTCAATCGTTTTATGGCCAGGGATAAATTATCTGGTGCCATTCTAAATTTTATGACATTCCTTTCTTTTCATTAACAGACTGTGAGTGACTATATAACATACAGCTAAAGACTAGGAGGGGGGGAACTCTTTTGCCCCCTTCTGATGCCTATGTCAGAAGCTTTCTCTATCTCCTTTATACTTTAATAAAACTTGCCTATGTCAGAAGCTTTCTCTATCTCCTTTATACTTTAATAAAACTTTATTACACAAAAGCTCTGAGCAATCCAGCCTCGTCTCTAGCCCCGGATTGAATTCGTCTCCTCTGGAGGCCAAGAATCCCACGTCTTATCGTTCAGCAACAACCTTTCAGGATCCTGGTGGGCTACAGTCCATGGGGTCACAAGGACTTGGACACCACTGGGTAACTAAGCACAATGGGACTGTTGAGTCTCTTCAAAGTAATTTATTTAGTAAGAATTCAGGTATAACGTTGTTGTTGTTGTTCAGTCACTGTGCTGTGCTTAGTCACTCAGTGATGTCTAACTCTTTGTGACTCTATGGACTGTAGCCCACCAGACCCCTCTGTCCATGGGGATTCTTCAGGAAAGAATACTGGAGTAGGTTGCCATGCCTTCCTCCAGGGAATCTTCCCAACCCAGGGATCGAACTTGGGACCCCACACTAAAGGCAGATTCTTTACTGTCTGAGCCACCAGAGAAGCCCAAGAACACTGGAGTGGGTAGCCTAACCCATCTCCAGGGGATGTTGCCAACTCAGAGATCGAATTGGGGTCTCCTGCATTGCACCACAATTTGAAAGCTTCAGAGCTCAGCCTTCCTTATGGTCCAACTCTCACATCTGTACATGACTACTGGAAAAACCATAGCTTTGACTATATGAACCTTTGTCAGCAAAGTGATGTCTTTGCTTTTAAATACCTTGCCTAGGTTTGTCAGAGCTTTTCTTCCCAAGGAGCAAGCGTCTTTTAATTTCAAGGCTACGTCACCATCTGCAGTGATTTTGAAGCCCAAGAAAATAAAATTAGCTACTGTTTCCACTTTTTCCCCTTCTATTTGCCATGAAGTGATGGGAGTGGATGCCATGATTTTAGTTTTCTGAATGTTGAGTTTTAAGCCAGCTTTTTCACTCTCCTCTTTCATCAAGAGGTTCTTTAGTTTCTCTTCACTTTCTGCCATTTGAGTAATATCATCTGCGTATCTGAGTTTGTTGACATTTCTCCCGGAAATCTTAATTCCAGCTTGTGATTCATCCACCTGGACATTTCAAATGATTTTCCCTGCATAAAAGTTAAATAAGCAGGGTGACACTATTCAACCTTGATGAACTCCTTTCTCATTACCGACCATTGTTTCATGTGTAGTTCTGTTTCTTCTTGACCTGCATACAGGTTTCTCAGGAGATGGATAAAGTGGTCTGATATTTCAATCTCTTTAACAATTTTTCACAGTTTGTTGTGATTTACACAGTTAAAGGCTTTAGTATAGTCAAAGAAACAGAAGTAGATTTTTTCTGGAATTCCCTTGGTTTTTCTACGAGCCAACATATGTTGCCAATTTGATCTCTAGTTCCTCTGCCCTTTCTAAACCCAGCTCATACATCTGGAAGTTCTCAGTTAATGTACTGCTGGAGCCTAGCTTGAAGGATTTTGAGCATAACCTTACTAGTATGGGAAATGAGTGTAATTGTACCATAGTCTGAAGATTCTTTAACATTGCCCTTCTTTGGAGTTGGAATGAAAACACACCTTTTCCAGTCCTGAGGCAACTACTGAATTTTTGAAACTTACTGACCTACTGAGTACAGCACCTTAACAGTATTATTTAGGATTTAAAATATTCAGCTGGAATTCAATCACCTCCACTAGCTTTATTCAGAGTAATGCTTCCTAAAGCCCCCTTGACTTCATACTCCAGGATGTCTGCCTCTAGGTGAGTGACCACACCATCGTGGTTATCTGGGTCATTAAGATTTTTTTTTTTAATCTTTCTGTGTATTCTTGCCACCTCTTCTTAATCTCTTCTGCTTCTGTTAGGTTCTTACTGCTTCTGTCCATTATTACGCTCATCCTTGCACGAAATGTTCCCTTGATATCTCCAATTTTTTGAAGAGATTTCTACTCTTTCCCATTCTATTGTTTCCTCTGTTTCTTTGCATTGTTCATCGAAGATGGCATTCTCTTCTCTCCTTGTTATTCTCTGGGTTTTGTTGGCTATATCTTTCACGTCTCTTCTTTCCTCAGCTATTTGTAAATCCTCTTCAGGCAACCACTTTGCCTTCTTGCATTTCTTTTTCTTTGGGACAGTTTTGATCACTGCCTTCTGTACAATGTTACAAACCTTCATCCATACTTCTTCAGGCATTCTGTCTACCAGATTTAATCCCTTGAATATATTTGTCACCTCCACTGTTTAATGAATCATTAGGGATTGGATTTAGGTCATATGTGAAAGGTCTATGGATTTTCCCTACTTTATTCAGTTTAAGCCTGAATCTTGCAATTATGAATACTTTGATACTTTATTTACTTTTAATTCTAGCATAGTAGCTTTACAATATTTGTTGGTTTCTGCCATACATCTACATGAATCAACCATAGGTGTATACATGTCACCTCTCTCTGGAACCTCCTTCCCACCTTCCACCCCATCCCACTCCTCTAGGTGAGTGTTTCAATTTTTAAAACATATTTTCTGAATCTGTTGAGATAATCATATGACTTTTCTCCAGTATTCTGTTAATATGTGGACTTACTTGATTGACTTTGAATTGTAAGCCAAACATGCATTCCCAAGGGAAACATCACTTTGTTTTATGTGCTAATTCTTTTATGTGCTGCTGGACTTGATATCCTAAGGTTGTGTTAATTTTTTATATATATTTGTTTATGAATTGTATCAATCCATAGTTTTCCAGTATAATATTTTTCCTGAGATTATATGAAGTGAGGGATGATTCACACAGCTGCTGGTGAATTCAGGGTGACCTAGGTGGAAATGAGTGGGGTGTCTATGATCTCAGATGGAAATTCATGTGAGAATCAGAGAACAAAAGCCACAGCCTTTTGACAATTGCCTTTCCACCCATCTGAGGTTTGGATGTTAGACAGAAAAGGATTTGGGTGAAATCAGATGCTCCCTCTTCTACTAACCCAGGTTAGATAAGGGTGCTGTAGATTGAAGGAAGGCAGGGAGAGGGGAGGGGATGGGTGGGCAATACAGATGTGTCTTCCCAGCAGCCCCAGGGAGCTCTGTGCAGCTGAGTAAGAGCAGGAGGACCTATCTGTCTGTCTGTCCCAGGAGGACCAAATACCCCTTACTTGTCTTTGCTGCATCCTTGGATAGATCCCCATAACACCTGTACACTCACTGCAGAGCAGGGTGAGTCTATATTCAAGACATTATAAGAATCACCTAACACATCAGGGTAGCAACTGTCCTTTCAGAAGCTCTGGAGCTTTTACATCAGTTGGCTGGGGGTGGGGTGGAATATACATCCTGAGTCAGATAATGAGAAGGGTCCCTGACCCAGGACCTGCTCACACCAGCTCAACTCACCTTAGCTCCCACAGAGGCAGGTCTCCCTCTTAGGAGAGCCCCCAGACAGAGCCTGGTGGGGTTGGAGTGGTGGGCAGAGACAAGGGCCCGGTGTCACCTGGGGCAAGGAGACCTCCCCTGCACCCACCAGGGTCCCCTCCATAGGGAGAAGCAGCAGCTCTGGATCACCCTGGGGACCTGTACTAAGCCTTCTAACTATGAGGACCTTAGAGATTCCCCATCCTAGACCCAGCCCTGTGGGGTAAACCCAGCCAGACTCTTTTCTGGAGGGGAGCTGTTGGGTGGGAAGAAGCTCTTAGAGAGTGGGTGTGATCAGGTGAAGAAGAATCAGACAGCATGAGCATGGGGCCAGGTTCATGGGCAAGCAGCAGAGGCACAGAGGAGCAAGAAGCCCCAGACCCCTGGACGTGCACTCTGAGCATGAGACCCAACTCAGTGTGTGTTTATGTGGAAGCAGCTGAGTCCACAACTTGGGGTTTGGATTTAGGATAAACTAAGGCCCAAGCACGTGAACCTTGACCCTTGGTTCTTCCTCTCCTGTCAGGAGTTTAGGAGAGGGGTCCCTTCTCACCCATTATTTTACTTTGGTTATAGTTCAATTTTGTTAATGGAAACCATAGGCCCAAAGAAGGACTATAATATGTGCACAGTCACAGGGTAAGTTAGCCGAAGTCGTCTCCCCAGAATGGATGGGTGGGGGAAGCTATGTCTCTTCAGCAGATGCTTTACCTCCTCTGAGCCTCAGATTCTCCCTTGTAAGATAAGGATGATTACTCCTACCCCTCAAGATTGCTGGGAGGAAGAAATTTGGTGGATGATGCTCATAACCTGTGGGTCCTGTTGACAGAAGTGATCAGACACTCTGGCTGATGTAATGATCATTAACCCTCCCCCACCTATTGAATTTGTGGAGGATCAACATTTGGTGGCTCAGACAGTAAAGAATCCACCTGCAAAGCAAGATCCATGAGTCCAGAAGATCTTCAGGAGAATGGAATGGCTACCCATTTCAGTATTCTTTCCTACCTGGAGAATTCCATTGACAAGGAAGCCTGTTGGGCTACAATCCATGCGGGTCACAAAGAACTGGACATGAATGAACGACTAACACTTTCACTATCTTTCAGCATGTCACATCATTGAAATCCAGCTGCAGGTGGAAGGCACACTGGTGGTCTCCACTGTGGCCATGTCCTCCCTCTCCCCAACCTCCAAAGCCCAATCTCCAATGAGTAAGCACTCTGTTGTGAATTGCAAGGCCTTTTATTTCTGGTATTACCTACTCAGACATGGACATGGTGGGTTGCTGACACTACTTAGTGATCAGCCAAGTGACTTCCTTGGGCTCCTGGCAGGGACAGTTCCATCAGCAGAGAGAACTTGAGTATACTTTATTCTGTAAGAGGAGGTACACAAATCTCGTGAGGCCTCAGGGGTGGATGAGATGTAAAGCAGCTCTGAACACAGGGGAGGGGCCTGCAGGCTTGTTTGGAGGGAGGCCTCTGGATGTGAGCAGGTAAAGGTAGATATGTCCCAGGGAGTTTTCTTCCAATGGAACAGAGATTGTGGGGTCTCCCTGGAGGGTTGAGGGCAGTCTTCTGGGATAGAATGGGAGACACTGCTGAGGACCACCTTGCAGGGCTCTGGAGTGACTCCTGGGAGTCTTCAGGGATGAGCTGACCCCTGTCTGCTTCCTCCCTCTGGCCCTTATACACTTAAGAGCCAAAACAGCTGCTTGTCCCACCACCTCTATGGCAGCAGAGAGAGGATTCACCCTTATCCTCGATTCTGGGCATCCCAGGCCTGGGGAGGGCAGGAGGGCAGCTTTTGGAAGCAGCCTCCTCTTAGGGCATGTGAGGCATAAATGTCTCTTTGAGGTCTAGGGAACAAGGAGAAATGTAGGGCTTCGGTGGGATGGAGTAGGAACTTAAAGCAGAAGGGAAAGAACGGATATTTGGAGAAAGGAAGGACTCAATGCGAATGGATTACAGAAGATTCAAGTTCCTCTGCTGGAGAGGCTGGAGTCAAGGAGGCCAGTGCTGAGGGCCTAACTCCAAAGGCAGGTGGCACCACAGAGTCAGGAGGTCCTGGAGGGTCCCAGGCCTGTGACCAGGCAGAGCTGAGCAGTCAGGGCCAGCTCAGGAGCTCCAGGGCTAGACTGAGTTTTCCTGCAGGATCCTTCCCCACCCTGTGGGTGTCAGCCACATCCTCTCTACCTTCTCATTCATGAGGTTCGTTCTGCTCTCACGTTCTCAGGGAAGAGCCAGGGTGGAGAGGAAATGACCCCCCCACCTCCCAGTGCCCCGAGCAGACACCTGACACCCCCTTCCCCACACAGGCACATCCACACACAGCCTCACCCACCAGGACACTGAGAGCATTCTGCTTATCCTCTTCTGTCAACTTCTCATCAACTCTGCCTTTCAGCCTTCTGGCATTGGCCACTATCGCACTGTTTGTGTTATATTCTTTCACTTTAGCAATGTATTCTTCAGGGGTTCCCTTCACAAACAGGTAAACATCCTCCCTCACTGCTGGGCAGATGTCACAATCTTAAACAGAGAGATAAGGGCACACTCCTTGAAAGGCATTTATCAGAACATACTCTTCCCTTCCCCTCCAGACATGCTCAGTGCTGCCCTGGGAAGGTGTCAGAACCCTTGGGGAGCCCAGGTCCCAGCCACTCACTTCCTCCCACAATGAGGAGCAAGGCAATGCAGAGCAGCAGGAGAGCTCCAGCCCGCGTCATGGTGCCGGTGGCAAGTGCTCCCTACTCACCTGGAGCCCTTTTCATAACATGTCCATGTCCTCACTCCAAGGGACCTTGTGTCAGATGCTTCCTTTTCCTGAAGATCCTGCCAGGCCACAGCCTGGTGTTTCCCAGGGCTGCACAGGAGGAGCTGTGTGTGTTGGCAAGATGCTAGTCCTTGAGTCCACAGAGGGCACTGGCTCAGCCTCCTCCCCCTGGAGGACTCTGAGGGAGGGGCAGCTGACTCAGGAAGCTTAACAACTGAAAATCCCCAGGTTGACCAAAAAGGGCAAAAATGCTAAAAAATCAGGCCTCCTGAATGCTGGCCTATGAGAGCCTGTCGGAACAACACATGATCTTGAAGACAGCGCTCTGGTGGCTCCTGCCCTGCCCTGCTGTTATCACTGTGTCCTTGATCTTGTCAGTGGCCTCTGTTGGGCCACTTCCCCGAACCAGTTTTTGGAGGCTGGAAATCTCTTTTATATGCTGGCCCAGAAATTTCTAGTTTTTTCTTGACCAAGTCCCTCCACCTGGCAACCTTGATAGCATCTCATTCTACACAGAAATATTTTCTGCAACTTCTTTCTTCTTTTCTTTTAATTGAGACTTTTTTGTGTGTATTAGATTATAGACAATTAAGAAGATTATGATAGTTTCAGGAGGACAACAAAGGGACTGAGCCATATATATGCACATGTATCCATTCTTTCACAAACTCCCCTCCTATCCATGCTGCCTCATAACACTGAGCAGAGTTCCCTGTGCAATAGTGGTCCTTATTGGCCATCCATTTTAAATACAGCATCGTCCATCCCAAACTTCCTCACTCTCTCTCACCTTTCCCCTGGCAACCATAAAGTTCATTCTCTAAGTCTGTGAGTCTGTTTTTGTTTTATAAATAACTTCATTTATATTATGTGGTTTTAGAAAGTGAAAGTGAAGTTGCTCAGTTGTGTCTGATTCTTTGCGACCCCATGGACTGTAGCCTACCAGGAACCTCAGTCCATGGGATTTTCCAGGCAAGAATACTGGAGTGGGTTGCCATTTCCTACTCCAGGGGATCTTCCTGACCCAGGGATCGAACCTGGGTCTCCCGCATTGTAGGCAGACGCTTTACCGTCTGAGCTACCAGGGAAGTCCATGTGTTTTTAGATGCCACATATAAAAGGTGTCATAAGATGTTTCTGCTTCTGTGTCTGACTTTCTTCACTCTGTATGACAGTTTCTAGGTCCAACCATTTTCTGCAACCTCTTTCTACTCCTGAGTGTCTCTGTACTGTTCCCCCATCTCCTCTCCAGAGCTCCCACTTGAGGAAAAGCCAAGCCCCTTCTAGGCCACAGTCTCTGGGCCAGTTGCACAACCAGCCCCGCACTGCTGCCGCCTCTGTGGACTTACCCCTGCCTCTCTCTCCTCCCTCAGTGCCTCCTGTCTGCTCTTGACCTGACCAAGTGTGCTCCTGCAGCAGGGCCTCTGCACGTGGAGCCCTCCTGGCCTGGAGGCTCTTCCTCCAGTGGCTGCTTGATTCGTTCCCTCATCCTCAGGTGTCTTTAAGTATCACAGGACACAGATTTCCCCATATCTTGAGCCCTTATTTCAAATCATGCTGCCTCCATCCTCCCCCCATGGCCCTCCGTCTTCTCCCCCTGCTTCATCTTCGCCCAGAGCACTTCTTCCTTTGGGGTCACTGTCTTTCACTCCCTCTTAGGTGATGAAGAGCTGCAGGAGAGCGAGAGCTGTGCTGTGTGCTGCTGCATCCCAGGACTAGGAGAGGGCCCAGCATTCGGTAGATGTTACACAATGTTTGTTAGAATAATGGCAGGAATATTCCATTTCTCTGGCATCAATAAACGAGAATAATTTTAGTTTTATTTACTATAGGATGTGCTTATGAATATTGCCTGGGAGAAAATAAATAAGGTAAAGATGTAAAATATTTCATAAGTCAGAATCAAATAGCTTTTGGCTGGAGGCACCTGGCTGTTATTTCTGAGTCACCTGTGGTGGATTAAAGTTTATTGAAGACATGATCTAAAGTTGGGACACAATGTATGACCACAGTCAGAACTCTTATGCCAAATAGGATTCACATCCGGTAACTGCTCTTGGCAAAGAGTCACCAGGTACTGAGCTGCAGTGTCAGCTGATTTCTGTGGAGTCCCTTCTCACCATGGCTCCTGCTGCCTTGGGGGCCACTGCTCTGAAGGTCACCCCATGAGGGACTCAGGTGGCTGCAAATGTGTCTCAGAGGTTCCTGGGCAGGAAGGTGAACACCACAAGGCCCAGGCTGCACATGCTGGCTCTTTGTCTGTGGCAGCAGGACTTCTGTGTGGTGGGACCCCTGCCCATGGATCCCATGCCTCCTGTCCTTCAGAAGACACTGCCCCCAATGCCTTCTGCAGCTCTGTGAGGAGAGGAGACAGGGATTAGGATGCTGAGTAACACAGGTGGCTGCTATAAATCCAGCCAAGTGCCCTTCTGAAGGTGCTACAAGATCCTCTGAGATGTCCCCGAATTGTGGGGACATTTGGTGACATCAGGGTGAAGAGCTGGTCAGGGTCAATGGAGGAATACCGCTGATGTGGCCCTTTCCCAATGCAAGTTATTTTTTTAATGTCTTTTTAGTTGGAGGATAATTACTTTACAATATTGTGTTGGCTTCTGCCATAAAACATGACTCAGCTGTAAGCATACGTATGTTTCCTGCCTCTTGAACCTACCCCACCTCCCACTCCACCCCATCCCTTTAGCCTGTCACACAGTACCACGTTGAGCTTCTTCTGTCAATTTGTTATTAATAACATCACATCTGGAATAATTTGTGATGTATAGAGTAGTTGCAAATATTTGTCAAACCTGATAAACAACATTGGAACATTACTACTAACTGAACCTCATACTGTACTTGGATTTCAGTAGATTGTCCATTAATGTCACTTTGGGTTCCAGGATCCAACCCACAACTACACATACTGCATTCACTGTCATGTGTCCCCAGTATCCTCTCCTCTGTGGATTACTCATTATCCCTTACTCTGTTATGGCCTTGATAGTCTTGAGGGGAACTGGCCAAGGATGGTAGAGGGACCCTCAAGCTGAGTTTGTGTGCTGTTGTTCTCATAATGTAGAGTGGGTTCAGACTTTGGGTTTTGAAGAAGACACCACACAGGAGAAGTGCCCTTTCATCCCCTTTCATCAGGGTACACAGGACAGCAGTGTCTTTCCACTGGAAATTATTGTTTATGTGTTTGCTAAGTTTTTCCACTGCTTCCCCTTCCACTCCTCTTCTCTCTGGAAGGTGAAGTCAGTCAGTCATGTCCAACTCTTTGTGACTCCTTGGATGGTAGCCCACCAGGCTCCTCCATCCATGGGGTTTTTCCAGGCAAGAATACTGGAGTGGGTTGCATTTCCTTCTCCATCTCTTTGGGAATGAGTTCCTAAGTCTAGCCCATGCTCAGAGAGGGCAGGGCAGTAATTTCCCCCTCCTGCTTGGGATAATCTACAACTGTTATTCAGGATGTTTCTGTAAGGATTGCTTGTCTCCTCTTCCACATTTATGTAATCATATAATAATGTAATCATTCAACAGATCTTTGAAGGAGGTCACCGTTATCTTCATTGCCTCCACCATAGTTTGGCCCCAGGTAAATAACAGGGAGGGAACACAGCTCCACCCATCAAAAGAAAATTGGATTAAAGATTTACTGAGCATGGCCCCGCCCATCAGAACAAGACCCAGTTTCCCCCTCAGTCAGTCTCTCCTATCAGGAAGCTTCCACAAGCCTCTTAACCTTCTCCATCAGAGGGCTGACACACTGAAAACCACAATCACAGAAAACTAGCCAACCTGATCACATGGACCACAGCCTTGTCTAACTCAGTGAAACTATGAGCCATGCCATGTAGGGCCACCCAAGATGGACGGGTCATACTGGAATGTTCTGACAAAACATGGTCCACTGGAGAAGGGAATGGAAAACCACTTCAGTATTCTTGCCTTGAGAATCCTATGAACAGTATGAAAAGGTAAAAAGATAGGACACTGAAAGAAGAACTCCCCAGGTTGGTAGGTGCCCAATATGCTACTGGAGATCAGTGGAGGAATAACTCCAGAAAGAATGAAGAGATGGAGCCAAAGCAAAAACAACACCCAGTTGTGGATGTACTGGAGATGGAAGCAAAGTCCGATGCTGTAAAGAGCAATATTGTATAAGAACCTGGAATGTTGGGTCTATGAATTAAGAAAAACTGTAAGTGGTCAAACAAGAGGTGGCAAGAGTGAGCATCGACATTTTAGGAATCAGTGAACTAAAATGGGCTGGAGCAGGTGAATTTAACTCAGATGACCATTATATCTACTACTGTGGGCAAGAATCCCTTAGAAGAAATGGAGTAGCCATCATAGTCAACAAGAGAGTCCAAAATGCAGTACTTGGATGCAGTCTCAAAAATGACAGAATGATCTCGGTTTCCAAGGCAAACAATTCATTATCACAGTAATCCAAGCCTGTGCAGCAGACAGTAATGCTGAAGAAGCTGAAGTTGAACGGTTCTATGAAGACCTTCAAGAACTTTTAGAATTAACACCCAAAAAAGATGTCCTTTTTATTTTAGGGGACTGACATGCAAAAGTAGAAGTCAAGAAACACCCGGAGTAATGGGCAAATTTGGCCTTGCAGTACAGAATGAAGCAGGGCAAAGGCTCATAAAGTTTTAACAAGAGAATGCACTGGTTACAGCAAACACCCTCTTCCGAAAACACAAGAGAAGACTCCACACATTGCCATCCACCAGATGGTCAACACTGAAATCAGATTGATTATATTCTTTGCAGCCAAAAATGGAGAAGCTCTATACAGTCAGCAAAAACAAGACCAGGAGCTGACTGTGGCTCAGAACATGAACTCCTTATTGCCAAATTCAGGCTTAAATTGAAGAAAGTAGGAAAAACCTCTAGACCAATCAAGTATCGCCTAAATCAAATACCCTATGATTACACGGTGGAAGAAATAGATTTATGGGACTAGATCTGATAGACAGAGAGCCTGATGAACTATGGATGGAGGTTCATGGCATTGTACAGGAGAGAGGGATCAAGATTATCCCCAAGAAAAAGAAATACGAAAAAGCAAAATGGCTGTCTGAGGAGGCCTTACAAATCGTTTTGAAAAGAAGAGAAGTGAAAAGCAAAGGGGAAAAGGAAAAATATACCTACTTGAATGCAGAGTTCCAAAGAATAGCAAGGAGAGATAAGAAAGCCTTCCTCAGTGATCAGTGCAAAGAAATAGAGGAAAACAATAGAATGGGAAAGACTAGAGATCTCTTCAAGAAAATTAGAGATACCAAGGGAACATTTCATACAAAGATGGGCTCAATACAGGACAGAAATATTATGGACCTAACAGAAGTAGATGATATTAAGAAGAGGTGG